CCTGCTGGCTCTACGTACACCCATTCGGCAGTGTCGCAGCACGCTTATTAAACTTCCGACAGTGTTGCATTTACGCGGCCACTGTTGTGCAGCTATCACAGGCCTGATTGTCAGTTCTGAAATTCGTTATGAAGGGAATCACCTCAGTCCTTGGATAGCTTTGTCAGTTACTCAAACAAAATCAGTAGACACTGCAGGAATGTAAATCAGTGGGCCGTTTTTCAGGCGTCCTACCTACATCCGAGGGTCAAAATATACCAGCATGTGTAATCAAACTGTTTGGAAGTGCAGTCGGAGGTTACTTGGAAGAGGACCACGCGCAACAATATAAACTACCCAAAGGATGGTTTCCTTGATGCATTTAGCAGTACCTAAACTCTACCTGCCACCATAACGCAATGTCATCACATATTTATCTCCACTCTAAGCTCGTAACCGATAAGGATTTTTCGCCAAAAAAAATATTTTGCCCTAACTCATTTATTTACGGTAAATAAAAGAGAGTTCACATTGGCGACAAAATAATTTCTGTGTCGAGGGCTTAAAAAAAGTAGCGTGGAACATCCAACTTGATTTCACCTAAATTCGTCATGAAATAGGTCCGATATTAGTTTAACTCACAGACAGAAATGGTGTGTAAATAAACTGTCTGGCATTCATGCGCGTGTAGTTGTAAATTACCCTAGTTTTTGCGAACGTCTACATCATTGGAACCGATCCTGAATTTTGGTACTTTCGATAATGTGTTATCTTGGGCTAAGATTGTTCAGCCGACGATTTTCTATCGAACCTGAAAAGGGTAAATTTAAAGTATGTCCAGTTTGCCTATTTGATTCCTCTAAGTTTATGCCATTTAGTCGCAAAAAAACCGAAACCTCCCATGCCATCGCATTCGGAGTCGTGAAACGTTTTACGTTAGCATGTAGGTGTTTTCCCTGCTTTAGTGTCAGTTACAGATTTGCTGACCAAACTCATGAAAGGTACCGGAATTTACGAATGATTGCTGATTACGCGAGAACCGACACCAATGCGTAGACACAATACTTGTAGTAATAAATACTAAATTTAAGGAATTAAAAAATTCCCATTGCTAATTGAAAAGCGGTAAATTCCGAAAACGTCCGAAATGGTTAAAAATGTGTAGACTTCAGTTTCATATGCATAGAAAGTTTTTCCTTACAAATCACAGGGTACATGCGATAGCACAATTGGACTAACCAGCATAAGTATTATTTTGCGAAAAGTTAACATTTAAATATCCTTTGAAAGTTAGTGAAATTTCAGGTATGGGGATTTGCCGACAGTCTATATTCTAAGTATAGATTTAAAAACGGTTTTTCCGACGATTTGGTGTATTCTTCATGCTTTTGAATTGATTGACACACGTTTCAAGAAGACAAACGAGATATTGCCTAGTCCACCCGACAAGGATGTCATAGGAAGAAAAATCCTTATAAGGACACATGTTGCCAGGCCCGTTAGTGACCAATAAATTTAAATCAAATTGACAGGCGCAATCGAAAACATGTCATTTTGGGTATGCTGAATACTTCAGGATTTTCCATAACATTCGGAATCACGCTGTAATTGTGCATGAGGGTGTCAGGTGTGTTTCCTTCCTCAGTGTCTAACATATAAGTCTAGATTGAGAACTCTCACGAAGACTGAAACAGGCGTCTGCGAGACCACTACCACGACAAAAAGAACGACTTGCAAGTCTCACGTGTGTCAGCCACCGTTACTGCTATTCCAATCTCAAACGCACTCCACTGCCATCGCTCCTACGTTTCGTGCATCGGTCTGGTCAGTTATTTTCTAATCAAGGAAGACCCAAAACTCTCCTGCCACAGGCATCTCACCTGTTCACTATGCGCCTGTACATTTACAGTTCATGACCTATCTCATGGAACCCTGTGACAGAGCCTGATGTAATACTTTAGGACGTCTTAAATGTTGCGCATTTGGCTTGCCCGCACAGCCTCCTTTAGCAACTGTCCTCATCTTGAGCAGAACGTGTGTCCACGTAATTTTTTCAGTCGAAATGTTCATAAATTTGGTCGAAAATAGACGTCCTGGTATACTCGGGCAGTTTCCTATGCTAAGACCTGATCTGGACTTCGGTTGCCCATCTAAGCGAGTATTTACTTGGAAGTAGAGTAATTTTCTTCAGGGACTTTTAATAAACAGAGATTGCGGGATTTGAAAATCAATTGTGCGTCCGATGATAACCGTGGTAATCAAATTCATTAAATAGTTTATTTTAAGAGAACCATATATTTTGCCGATTCGAAGAATTCAGATTATCAGATCTGTGCTATTTTGTGCCCTAAAGTGCAGTACTAACGCAAGGCACTCCTTCATTTAAATGGGCTATAATTGTTTTACCGTCCAGAAAATTCTACTTATTTTCCCAGAAAGGACCACTACCGAACATATTACATGTTACTTTTTGTACAGTCCGGCTGCTGCACATACCTAATTCAGAAATGGAACGAGCAAAACGTTAACATCTTCAGAAAAATATCAGTGTATATAAAGTCACTCTGCCGTGCATTCATAATCATAGAATGATGTCTATAATTGAGTAAAAACAATTCAAATGACCGTAATATGCAGGCAAAGGCGTGTTCTTACGTTTGCGGATAAAAAATATCAACATTTTTTAGCAAAGTGAAAGAAAAGGCCGATAGTCTCACATTTTTCTTGATCTCACTATGTAAAAAAATTCGACTAACCAGACATCCGTCAACAGAAATCATTATGAAATCACTCCTTATAAAGGCAATTTATTATAGAAAGTTTTCTAATTGATCAAAGGCATATTCATTTTTCACTATCGATGTGGACGTCAGTTTCGTTTAATAATGTGGGTTTCTGTTTGCTTGAGTTCTCAAATGTGACCTTAGTGACTTTCTAAATGAAAAAGAAAGTCCAAAAACTCGCTACTTCAATGAATGCCTCAAAGAAGTACCTTATTTTAAAATTTTTAACAGACACATAATACAAAATCTGTCCTTATGGATGATCGAAAGAAAACCCTAAAAATCGTAAAAATTAGTCGGTAATTCAAGGCTGCTTTAAGACTCAGCGTAATCCTGAACGAGCGAAAAGTGCGGAAAAATTAAACGGAGGAAAGGTTCCATTCATGAGCACAAAATGGTATGCTTACGTTTACAAATGCCAATTGTATTTAAAATTATATAGCATCTGTCGGCCTGGCAACATGCAACCTCATAAAAAAATTTGTTCCTATGATTTCTTTTTCGTCGAAATCAAGCAAAATCTTGCTTTTCATACTGACCTGCATCTCACTTAATTCAAAAGACTAAATGATACCACGAATCCTTAGGAAACTGTTTTGGAATCTATATTCAGAATGTAGGCTGTTGGCAAGGCGCCATGACCGGAATTACATTAATTCTTAAAGGATGTTTAACTGATAACTTCACTCAAACATTTTTAACAGTCAGGCTAATAAAGCTCTTGTCCCGGCGATCGTGTCATCTTCTTCAAGACTGCTTCCTGGGACTCGTCTGTTCGCTTCTATTGGCAATGTATTTGGGCGCGATGCGCTCCGATCCGCTCGGCGATGGAAAGCTTTGCCCTTCGGGAGGCCTCCACGTATTCGCAGATCCGGTTTCTGCACAGGTGTCTCGACAATAATGTGTTGCCGAAATGTGTTTCATACAAGCCCCCGATTAACACAGATTTGGCGAGACGAGCAGTATTTCAACATGGTAGAAGAATGATTCGGGTGCTACTCCAAGATTGCCACACGAGACTTCGCAAGTACCGTCAAAGGATTGACCAAGAAAAGACCAGATGTTGCGAGCTCATGGGTGAGATCGGTACAAATCTGCTCCTGCAGAGGATAGCTGAAAGGCCCGCGAACAGAATATGATATGCGACGCGACAAATTCCGAAAGCTGCCAAATCCAACATCGCCCAGAAAAGAGAAAATTGGTGCACAACCTATCGTCAAAGGAGCTGACGAAGGATCAGATGCAGGTTTTAAGGCACGAAGTTTCATTCAACACGACTGACGCCAAACCAGTAAACATAATTGCAGCAGTGGAATCAATCCTTAGTCAGACGGAGGCAACGGAGGAGACCAAGAGCCTCATCCGACACCAAGTGTCGTCTCTCCTAATGGCCCACAGACCGCGGGAAGTGCTTTCCAAGGACGAACGTGATGCGCTTAGAGAACTCAAGCCCGACAAAGACTTGGTCATCGTGCCAGCGGACAAAGGATGCTCCACGGTTGTGCTGGACAGGACAGACTACCTTCAAAAAGCCAAAGGTTGCTGGAGGACCGACAGTTTTATGTCCCATGTGCAACGAACCCTGTAAAAGCGCTGACACGCGAAATCAATGCTACGTTGTTGGCCTTGGAGAACTCAGGTGAAATAACACCGACCGACAGACGCATGGCGAGACCCCATGATACGGCTTTGGTCCGATTCTATCGCCTCCCTAAGGTGCACAAAGACGGCGCTCCTCTCCGACCCATCGTGTCGCTCAAAGGTACGCCAACGTACGGACTGGCTAGGTGGCTGTTCCGGCGTCTCAAGTTCCTGACCGCTGAGTCAGACACCACGGTCTCTTCGTCAGCAGAATTCCCGGGGAAACTCAGAGGGGTAATACTCCATCCAAATGAGGTCATGGTATCTTTTGATGTTACATCCATTTCTACTTCTATTCGCCAGGACCTGGCGATCGAGACAATCGAGCTGCTTCTACAAAGCAAATACGATGAAACGGAGAATCGTCTTGGACGCGCCCAAGTACTTCAGCTGCTGAAGTTCTGTCTTAGGACGTACTTCACGTTCGACGGGACAATCTACAAAGAGGGGAAGGGCACACCAATGGGTTGGCCGATTTCGGGGTTCATAGCCAAGGCGGTCCTGCAACGGTTAGAGTAGCTGTTCTTCCAACACCACAAACTGAAGTTCCGGGCCCGGTATTTGGATGATACCTTCGTCGTTATCGATCGGGATCAAATGCTGACATTCAAGGAACGTCTGAATGCGGTCTTCCCGGACATACAATTTACGATGGAGGAGGAAGAGAACAATCAGCTGGCCTTCCTGGATGTCCTCGTATGTCGTAAGGATTGTAGTGGACTAAAGACCAAAGTGTTCAGGAAAGCGACGAATACGATGCAAGTACTGAACTTCATCAGCAACCACCCAATCAGCAGTTGTGTAAGGACGCTCTATCGGCATTTCGAAACGGACTGCAGTGAGCCGGAAGACAAGACTGCCGAACTGCAATACCTCCGACGGGTCTTCAAAGCCAATGGCTACCCGCGCAACTTTGTCAACCTGTGCATACGCCAAATGGACGAAAGGCCTAACCGCACGGACACCAAAGTTTGGAGAGCGCTTCCACATGTCAAGAACGTTTCAAAGCTGTTGGCCGCCTTCTCGCACCGCTGGGGGTTGGAGTTGCACACAGGCCGGAGGCAACCATCAGCCGTCAATTGATGAAACCAAAAGATCCACTGTCACGGCAAGATAGTCTGGAGTCGTAACTCGGATCTGGTGCAGTTCCGGACAAAGCAACTACGTCGGAGAAACCAGAAGACAGCTCCAAACGCGAATGGCCGAACACGCTGCAGCAGTGCGGAGAAATGACGCCGGCTCTCAAGTTGCGGCTCAGTTGACGGGATCCAGCCACACATTCAAATTTGACGAGGCCGAAATTCTCATAAGAGATCACAACCGCGTGACACGGGAGCTGCTTGAGTCACGGTTTACTGGCCCCCCGGTCTATTAACAAGTGCAATGATCTTCCCATGCAATACTCGGTGCTGAGACTTCGTCTAGGCGAAGTAATTGGTCCCGCGGGAAGCGCACTGCTGAAAACTTCCTAACACCCGTGTCAGCGCGTCAGATGGTCAAACAATCATCACATCAACATCCAACGCACGTAATGAAATTGCAGCAATTAACGACGCGAATATCGGCCATCACGCCACGTGCAACGAGCCCTGATGAAGGGGCGAGAGCCGTGAATATTTATAGGTATGCGGTAGCATGGCTACTCCATCCTACAAATACTGCAGCCGCATCTGCATGAACCACCCTTATCTGCTTATGTCTCCGATGATGGATTCGAACAGGAATCCGAAACGTCAGGCAAATAAAGCTCTTGTCCCGGCTATCGTGTCTTCTTCTTCAAAACAGTGTTTCTATTTGTGCTTTCATATTCACTCAGTTCCTTTCCATGGGCAGAATTTTCGAAATTTAAAAAATAAAGTTTACTAAATTGCGACCATTTTTGACGTTTTGGGATTTTGCTCTTCTATAGAAATTGGCATTTCTAAACAACGCAACAGTGCCTTTATTATTTATTCTGTGTTTCTGATTTTCGGGAGTTGTGCTTGATAAGCAAAGATATGGGTCCACGGATTGGTGTCTGTTTGTGAGTGATTAGCAGCCATTCGTAAATTTCGACGCATTTAATGAGTTAGGTCACCCACTGTAGACACTGAATAAGATTTCCAGACGTTTATACCTCCAGACCGCATCATTACACCTCACTTTACACGTCTACCGATAGCCTTGCATCGCATATGAGCTTCCTACACACTACGGTTCGCCTACTGCAACATCATACCCATCTGGCATAAAACAAGCATTTCGTTTCGCCAAATCGGGGGAAGAAACATCGAAGGCCAGCATATGAACATCTCACGGAATTGGAAAGAGTTTGCAACAACTTGAGTGCTACGGCTTGTGAGGGCTGATATTGCAGAAGGCATCAAAATCTTGACCAGAACACAGTCAGCTATAGTTAACAGATGATAAAGAGCGACTGATCTATAGCCTTCCTGCACAGCTAAATCAGTACGCCGGCTACCAACAAAAGGCAAGCCTCAGTGTCTTCAACATGCCGTTGAATCAGAAGAGTGGGGGTCAAATATGCCCAATCACACTGTTCACATCACAATGGGTGTTGGTGTTCATTTATTATCCAATGGGTTTTCTATTAGACACAATATTTCACTTGCGCGCGTGCAATGTCTCAGCAGGATTCATTACCCAAGAGACACGTGCTGATGCTCAGCTTTTGATTGTCACCGCGAATGCCGATGATTCTCATGGCTGAGATGGCAGACATAGCGCGTGCGAATTTTCAACGAACAGGTTGAACCAATCATCTTCAGCATGTATCAGGTATTATTCACACACTCGACGATTCAACCGTCCTTGCTGACGATGTCGCCTCGTATTCAACCACAGCATGGTGGGCGCAGCCACGGTGAATTACACATTAATTAATCTATAACGGTAGTAGATGCACGCTGCATTTACTGTATTGTCTCTCTTGCCACACACTACTAGGTCAGATGTCAGGAAGACCGGAGGCGGGGTCGGACGTAGTTGACTGACGCTGCGTGACCCCGCGCCTAGATGTGCCACCGCACATGTTCCGCCCACAAAGAACCAGTGTATAAAACAATGAGAGGAGGGGGTGTAACTTCACCAGTAAGACTCCATTGTAGACCGATTCCTAGTTATCCATTCACTACAAACTATTTCTAGGAGGACGAATTATCCCGTCAGTTGGCAGCATTCCAAGCGACAGTTTTTAGCGCGTCCGATTGATTTTAGAGAAGAATATGGAGTGAGATTATCGACCTCACTCTCTCTTCCCATTCCCAGACACTATTCCGTTGTTCAAGCCGGCCTGCCAAATAGTGCACGCACGCTCTCGGAAATACCCACCAGTAGGATTTAGGGTGTCGGGTGTCTGACATACCTGCTTGTTAAAAATGTGAGCCAGGAACTAGTTGACTCCCGTGATTGCCATCTCAGTAATGAGAATTACCGGCATGTAACGTGACAGTAAATGGTTCAGGATCGAAACACGTCTCGGGGACAGTTTATCCTACTGTCATTTTGCACTATTTGAGGTGCACACATTGTGTCTGTCAAAAATCCACTTAAAAATAAGTGAACCAAAACAGTCACTGTAAGGCGACCACTGAAACTGTACATTTAGTTACCACCATTTGGGGTTTAACAGCATATTGAGGACACTGGGGTTTACCTGTTGTTTGAAGTCGGTGTCCCGATTTAACTATGTAGGAAGGCTGTAAATTTGTCATTTATAACCGTCCCACTGCTGACGTTCGTTTGCCAGCTATAGCTGACTGCCTTCCAATCAACAGTTTGCGTCCTTCTATATCGTAGCCCCTACGAAGCGCACATGTTCATTATAGCGGTTACTAAAGCCAAGTAATGCATTCCCTGCGACTCCTACTAAACTGACTCCCAGTCTGTCAACTATTTAGACGTGAGGAAGTGTTCAAGCAATCACAGCTATCAAAATCAGCAAATCAACTTCAAGGCAGACGCATATATTCCCTTACTCAGGACAGTCGAACCCTAGCTTGGTTATGTGAAATCCTAGCCCTTTGCGCGTGGACCAGGTGATCTCCACTTTGAGTTGGCGTTGGCTACGAAAGATGGAGATCTTGCAGGAACGTCTTCGGACGTCAACTCATGTTCACCTTTATCTGACAAATAACATCACCAAATACACGACATACTTCTCAACCATATTCCGACCACATTTTATGAGTTGAACCGCTTATTGTGTGTTTGCGTACCCGCTTTCTTAGATGCCTTTCTCCACAGCGAATTCATCCAGACTCATAGGAGCAAGTTGAAGATTAAAAGCACCTCGTTTTGGCTTCCACCGATGGTCGAGCTTTACGTCCTAACCGTGGGAGTAAGGAGTTTGTGAAGCAAACACGTGAGTTTGTCGCTGGGAATGCGCCAGTTACTGTTAATTTTAGAGGTCGTCCGGCAAATTCACCTGTTATGTCACTGAAATGAGGCAGTCTTAATAATACATATTTGTTTGCTCCAGTTGCGGTGATAAAGTTTGTATTACGATCCCTATCATCCTACGGAATGAATATCGCTGAAAAGCCGTTTTTCGCAAAATGCGCTCCACAGCTGATAGCGTTTTGTTTCAATAATTTCATGAGAACTGCTGCGTCGCGCTCTGGCAGCCAGTCCTTGGGCTAAATTTGATTTTTAAGAATACATGTGATGTCCTGCCCAGGTTTTCATTCGGGATATCTTAAGCTGTGCATAAGAACATCGAAGAACGTCATCGCGTATTTCACCTCAACCTCTTAGGCAAATTGTGGAGAAAAATGTTGGTTGTATAACTTCTTAACAAGTCTCGGGGATTTTGGTGGTATGGCCAGTCAGGTGGAGGGATTAGAGCCCCCAGAATTCTAGGCAGATAATACTTTGCTGCGGAAAAATTTACTCGACCGTGCCATGATATCATATGCAATAAACGCCTTGAGCGAAACAAATGGTGGCTGAAAATATCGTGCAAATCACAATGGTAGACTGAATTGCCACACTCTGAATAGCCATCATTCGACAGTCAAAACCGACGAGAAATCTGCTATCAGGATTTCCTCAATAAGCTAATCCCAAGAATTCTAAGAAAAACAGTAAGGAATCACTATGATAAACACCAAAGTATAAAAACCACAATTGCCGATACAAGTAAAAATGTGAGTTCCTGGAAATACTTGATCACAAGAAGAAGCGATCGCTGGAACAATGGCTTTATTCGCCTGACGTTTCTGATTCTCTCTTGAATCCATTGTCAGAGAAAGTTGCAGAAAAGGGTGGCTACTATACAGGAAGTCGCAGTATTTATAGGATGCGGTCGCCATGCTACCGCATACCTACAGCAATTAACCGTGCTCCCTTCATCAAGGATTGTTGTCCACTGGTGCGATAATTGCTTGATGGCCAGCATGCAGGTTGTTAATTGCTGACATCTCATCACCCGTGTTGGATGCTGGCGTGATGATTGCTCGGCCATCTGTCTCACCGGCGTGCGCGCTTCTCGAGTGGTCAATTGCTTTGGCCAGTCTATGCCTCAGGACATAATATAGGGTAGGGATGTAATTGCACTTGTTGATAGACGGAGGTCCCGTGAACCATGACTCAAGCAACTCGCGGCTCACGCGATTATCCCCTCTCGCGAGAATGTCGGCCTCATCGTACTTAAATGTGTGGCTGGGTCTCGTCCAATGGGCCGCGACCTGAGAGTTGGCATCATTTGTCCGTACAGCTGCCATGTGTTCGGCGATTCGCGTCCGGAGCAGTCTTCCAGTTTCTCCGACGTAGTTGCTTTGTCCGAAACTGCACCAGATGCGGTAAACGACTCCAGATGTTTCTTGCCGTGACAGTGGGTCTTTTGGTGTCATCACTTGACGCCTCATGGTAGCCTCCGGTCTGTGCGCAACTCCAACCCCAAGTGGTGCAAGAAGGCGACTAATGGCCTAGGAGACGTTCTTGATGTACGGGATCGCTCGCCAGAATTTGGGGTCGGCGCGATTTTGTCGCTCGCCTCGTTTGCGCAGGCATTGGTTGACGAAGTTGCGCGGGTAACCTTTTTCTCGGAAAACCCGTTGAAGATATTGGGATTCGGCAACCGTGTCTTCCGGTTCACTGCAGTGCGTCTCAACACGCCGAATTAGCGTTCTTACGCAACTGCGTTTGTGGCTGATTGGGTGGTTACTGTTGAAATTCAGAATTTGCGTCGTGTTCGTTGCTTTTCTGAACACATTGGTCTTTAGGCCGCCACAATCTTTGCGACAGACGAGGACATCAAGGAATGCAAGCTGGTTATTCTCTTCCTCCTCCATCGTAAATTGTATGTCCGGGAAGACGCTGTTGAGACGTTCTTTGAACGTTAGCATCTGATCCCGTTCAATGACGACGAAGGTATCGTCCACATACCGAGCCTAGAATTTCGGTCTGTGGTGTTGGACGACCAGAGACTCCAACCGCTGTAGCACCGCCTCGGCGATGAATCCCGAAATCAGCGAGCCCATTGGTGTTCCCTTCACATGCTCGTAGATTGTTCCGTCTAACTTGAAGTACGTCCTGAGACAGAACTTTAGGAGCTGAAGGACTTTGGCTTGTCCGAGAGCGTGAAAGGCACTCCAACGTACGGACTTGCAAGATGGCTGTTTCGGCGCTCAAATTTTTGACCGCTGATTCGGACACCACGGTCTGTTCGTCAAGGCAATTCCGTGAGTAGCTTAAAGGAGTAAGTCTCTTGCCCAATGAAGTCATGGTATCTTTTGATGTCACGTTCATCTTTACTTCTATCCCCCAGGATGTGGCAATCGAGACCGTCCAGCTACTCCTACGAAACAAATACGATAAAACGGAAAATCGTCTCGGACAAGCCCAAGTCCTTCAGCTCCTAAAGTTCTGTCTCAGGACGTACTTCAAGTTAGACGGAACAATCTACGAGCATGTGAAGGGAACACCAATGGGCTCGCTGATTTCGGGATTCATCGCCGAGGCGGTGCTACAGCGGTTGGAGTCTCTGGTCTTCCAACACCACAGACCGAAATTCTAGGCTCCTCTTCTTTTGGGGATGATAAACGGGATAATTGTTCAGTACTTCGAATCTTCACTCATGTTGATATATGTATATATAGCGGGACACCAGCACGTTTCTCGTAAGGAGTGAATCTCGTATAATTGCATTCGTGCAAGTAAGTAAATTGGGCATTTTAGGAAACCACTGGTTAAGAAAACGAATCTCAGCAATCAGCGGAAGGTGACCAGTAAAATGCTGCACTTCGTTGCCACCTTTTGAAATTTCATGGAATATTAGGGACGCCGAGGTTTACCTTTTGTTAGTCGCCGATGTACTTAGAATGTAGCTCCATTGTTTAGATCCGTCCCACTTTCGATCTTCGTTTGCCAACTATAGATGACTGACTTCCAGACAACATTTTAGGTCTTCTGCAATTCTAGTCCTTGCTAGCAGTATCGCTTTGTTAGAGTGGCTTATTTAAGTGTATTAAATCCATTTTCGGCGACTGTTATAAAACTGACACCCTGTCTGTCAAATACTTCAGCATGGGGTGGTGTTAAACGAATTGCTGCTTTGTAAATTTACGGCTCATATTCAAGGCCGACGCAGGTATTCCCTTACTCAGAACAGCCGAGCGCATACCACCCTGCCTTCTTTATGTGAAATCATGGCCCTTTACGCGTTGGCCAGGTGATCACCACTTTGGATCGGCGTTGGCTTCGGAAGATTAGGCATTTGCACCAACGTCTTCTGACGACGAAGCAGTGATTCATCATCCAAATGGTCAATGTGCCGGCTTTTTCTAACAACCATTGACAGAAACAGCTGCACTACTTTGCTGGTGTCCGATTAGTAACCCGAAAAGCTTGTTTGGCGTCAAGGTTGGTGATTCTCATCGAGTAGGTGTGCGACAAAATCGATATATTTTCCCCTTAATCTGACAAGGCGCGTATGTCCCCTCGTATTGCGGATGCCCAAGTCCTTTGTCAACCGGTTTCCTAAATTCATGAGCCCTATTGAAACAGATCCAGATGCGATCGATCGGCCACATTCTAAAGATGACTGAGGTACCTACAGAACTGACTCATTTTGCAACGCCCCTCTGCCGCATATAAACAGGGTAGACGAATAACCCCCCCCCTAAACCCTCAACTTACTTAAGAGATCTAAGAGGCATTTGCATAGAATCGGCATACCGGAAAATCTGAGGAAAAATTCTTTGAATTCGGACGAATTCAGGAGCTTCTGGCAAAGCGAAAAGCACGTTAGACTAAAAGGCATTAAACTAATGTCCCCAACAGCCAAGCGAGTGAAACTACATTCGATGCTGGTCTTTTCATCTTCTGACTTGACTTTTATCACACCCTTGTATTAACCGCAGTGGAAAACGACGCATTCGAATCAAATTACATGTACGAGTGTGACATGCGCAGACAAATGACTTGCGTCAGATCAGCGAGGGCATTCATGCTTGTCGCCAAACTCCTTTTCACAAGCCCAACCCAATTATGTTTTTGTCAAAAGGCACTGGCGTATGCCACTGAATATGGTGGATAGCAGTTTACCCAATGCTCTGTCAGACAGCAAACCGACCTTCATTCGCATCATGCCCATCCTTACCGATCCGCCTTGGCTCTGGCCACTTTTAAGCCACGATTGGAAATAGAAACGCATCACTAATAAACGAAATCATGTTACATATTCCTAACAGTCGACAGTTAATTGTTCTTCCGCTAGAGTAAAAACATATGGACACATTATCGGATGTTTAGTGTCATCAATCGGTGAATGTGACTGATACAAATTACTGCCGTACAGCAGGCAAGAAAACATAGTCTGTGGGCTAGACTCTGAGTATATGCTTCCAAAATATCTGTGTTCGCGTAAATGTTCTGCTCTCTGCCGATGGTTTTACCAGTTGCCTCGCCTCCTCCAGGGTTGGGTACAAAACATCAACCTTGATGTGAAAGTAAAGGCCATCGTACTTCAATGTTCGCTGTCGAACCGCATACTGTACATGCAGATAGGTATCCCTGCGCCACAGTTGTCGAGCTTTTCTTCGTCTCTGCTTCCTAATAAAAAGAACAGGGATTTGATGTGTTAAACTTAATCATATCGTCAGCAGATCAAACGAATAAGTTAGGAAAAACATGAATAAAGCATTAAAAAATAACTTTTCAATACCTTCTAGGGTTTTCGGCATTCCCAGCATCTCTGACATGCTTCATCATCATGTAACGAGAAATTGTGAAGTTGCGTCGCGTCAAAGTTAGTTTTGAGAATGTAAGACGGCTGTACATGTCGTCATCTTCGCAGCCCTATCCAAAGTAAGTGTTTACATATCCCAGCGTACTTTCGAAATGCCTTCTTGTCATCGCCACTGCTCCACCAAAGGAGGTTTCGTAGAACAGACTGGGTTAGGGAAATAAAAGGAATAAAGTAATGAGCGTAAATTATACTGATGTAAGTGCGGTTACGCTTTCGAAATATTATATCAAATATTCAACTGAAAACTGACGCAAGAGACTAAATGACACATGGCTTGAAAAGGTAAGGTGACTGAGATAATAGAATACAGGAACTCCTGAAATACGGGTGGGATGTTATAAGTAATTATATCAGTAGATCAGACGGACACCAAAATAAATAGAATTCGCGGAGACCGTCGAGAAAGCTCACGTTTCTGTCACGTTTGTTTTATTACTACAATGGGGTGCCGGAACAGACCGCATAATCTGGAAGATGGAAATTAGAGGTGTGCAACCGGATGGAAACCAGGTAACTGAAGGTTACTGATTAAGGAAGAAAGGATTGGGTAAGGCGGTACGCAGCAGTCAAATTCAACTCTAGTGCCGATCCTAGCCATAACCTCAAATCTTTCGCCAATTACAGTCATTAATTAAACCCTATTTTGAAGACTAACCCATGTCCTAGGCGACAAGTACGATGAAACGGAGAATCGCCTCGGACTCGCCCAAATCATCCAAAGCCAGCAGTTCTGTCTCAAGACGTACTTTACTTTCAACGGAACAATTAACGAGAAGGTTTCGGGCACATCAATGGGTTCGCCGATTTCGGGACTCATAGCCGATGGAGTCCTAAAGCGGTTGGAGTCGTTGGCTTTCCGAAAACACAGACTGAAATCCCAGGCTCGGTATGTGGATGATAGATTTGAAGCCCACGAACGAGATCAGGTGAGGACATTCAAAGAATGCCTCAACGCCGTCTTCCGGGACATTCAATTTACGATGGAGGACGAAGAAAACAGCCTGCTGGCCGTTTCGGATGTCCTAGCTTGCCGCAAAGATTGTCATGGCCCAAAAAGCAATGTGTTCAGGTAGGCGACAAACACGGTGTAAGTACTGACTTCTCAGCGTAACCATCCGATCGGTCGCAAACGCAGTTGCGTAAGAACGCCATACCGGAGTGAAACGTAAAACAAGGTTGCTGAATTACTTTTGTAGCAGCCGCTCCAGTCCCCCTTCCGTTTTGTCGGTCGATGGCCGCCACAATTGTTGACAGCAGTTCACACACGGCTACCCCCGAGGGCTAGAACTAGGGCACCTGCTGTCCAGCTGCAGTGACTCCCGTCTGCCTTCACAAGCTTTTATTACTTTAACCTCGTCCGACGACCTGGCTTGACACCCGTGAGTCCCCGTGAGTTTGCGCACATCCCTCCCCCAATTCTTCCATTAATCCGCCTAATCTCATGACCAACACTCAGTCATTAACTTCCCTCCTGCTGACACATTTACGCACACATAAACAGCACACCGTGACTGACACTCTCCGGGAACGGACGCTTATCTCTGTCACAAGCAAACGGTCAACTTACGGCAACCTGCACTGTCTACAGAATAAACCAGCGATCACACTCCTTGACTTCGGGAACTAGACGAAACAAAATTATTGTGTGTGGTTTAAGTTTATCTTACATCCTTGCCCCCCAAACTATATCTTCGATGGGTACTGAGAGCCAATGGCTACCCGCAGAAATGTGTCAACTAGTGGATACGTAAACGAGATCAGAGATCATATCCAAGTGGACGTAAATTTTGGCGAACTCTTTCATACGCGAGGAAGGTCTCGGAAGCCGTCAACTGTCTTCTCACTTCATTTGGAGTTTGGGTCACACGCAGTCCGGACGCAACCATCAGGCGGCAGGTCATGAAGCTGAATGACCCGCTGCTACGGCAGGAAGCATTCTCGTTACCTAAATCGATAGCAAATCCGTCCCTAGACGACCGTTCTATGAACAATAGCGCCTTATATAATATAAAATTTCCTGCCGTCTACTCGCAGCGAAGACTGTGACCGAAACACCCCGCACCAATCTGCTGCGTATGCCTGGTCCATTCGGTCTAGTGTCACCGTGTCGCCGATTAATACTTTGCTCGTCACTAATAAGTCGCATTCAGACACCGTTCAGTCTCACGATCATGCTTCGTACTGCCAGACGAAACAACAACAGCTGGCTGTGGACGTGGTGAAACCTTCCTTGTCGCCTACACCTGGGTTGCCTTTGTGCACTCCAAGCCAGAGTAAACACTGTGTTACCCACATCTGTCCCATTCGCTTGTGACTTGGGCAACTTCTCACTGGAGACCTAGCTCAGCAACAAGCAACATCTAAATAGGCATGACTGGGGAGAATAAATGCTGAGTACCACAATTCAGCGAGATCCAACTATGATGAAGAAGAACTTACGAGTAATTAAATTTGTCGATATTTGCAGACATGTGAAGGGGCTGATTCTCGCACGCGTATAGCATTCTGTCATCCTCGGGTAGGAGGTAAACATCGTGGAAAATGAAGCAAGAATAATTGGCTGCTTTCACTGCCTCCCTGTACCCGATATTAAGGAGTGCAGCCCGATTGAATGTCTCGGGTTTATCCTGTAGGGGTAATAGAGGCCAATCAGTGCTGTTTCAGTGGGGGCGGGTGATGGAAGGGCTATGCATAGTAGACGAGGAGACTCTTGAGGGGTGTGCAGAAGGTGGCCTTTGCTATGTAGAAACAGTTTGAAATTCGAGGCTGGAAGAGCATTCTGGCTTTTGGTATTAACTGACGCATTGTACGCAGACGTGGGCATTCATATAACCCAACCTTCAGTCGACCTTCACCCACTAATATGGACATCCCGATAAGCATGCCTGCTTAACAGCCTCATCCTCCACATCCCCACCTATGTAATTCGTTCTTTTAGACAAGCATCAGAATTGCAGTGAGCACTATTATAGTCTGGCATTCTATAGGACGCGGGCATTTTGAAAATATGCACAAAGACGCAATTTATATAAATGAATTTACAATCAAAGCGGATGCCGCATGGATAGGTGAAAGCGATGTCAACCGAATTGCTACTGTCTTATGTTATAACTGGTAAATTTAGCGAGTCCAGTGTCGAATGCTGGAATGAAGCGTATTTAAATAATAGGTGTTTCCTGCCAGGCAGATGGGAGATGGCCGGCTGACGGGAGGCAGGCCGCTTCGAAGGGCCGTGACATTATTTCTTGACATTGATATAAACTCCCCTTGATACCTCAGCAGATGTTTTAAGACATTTTATGCATTAAATAATGTACGTAAACCACTTTAAATGTATGGTGTGGGAAGCGTACCTTTGGTGGATGTTGCCTTTCGACAGAAGTTCTTTCCAGTCTCATGCAAAACCACGGTATGAAAAAAATGCCTACTTATTAGCAGGTACTTGTCTCGATTATGTTCGATGCTCTTAAAAGTTTAATTATATTATATAAAACCATGGACAATAATTTCATTCTTTTAATCATTCGGTAGAAAATTAAGGCTTCTTCCAATTTTATACTCGGTGGAAGAATACAAATCGGTTTTCATAAACTTTTCCATTTCCTGAATACTTTTGAATTCTAACTCCCGATAAATGTTCACAAAGAGTTTTCAGTCTACCAGCTGTATACATGCCGTGCTCGGTGAACCACAAATTTCTCTACGGTATTATGAGTAGACGATATGCAGTTCATAAAGCTGCACAGTGCATTTGAGCCGCAATGCAAACTTTACAAGGACATTACTAAATGCCAAAACACGATGTTTTATGGACGGACATTTCATAGTATTAAAAATCTCCTAATTAGAATCTGAATTCTATCCTTTCTTTGAGTAGAAATTAGAAGAAGAAGAAGAAGAAGAAGAAGACGTAATCTTCTACGGAATAAGCAAAAGAGTGACTATTTTCGGATGCTTTTCACAAAATATAATTGAATTCTTAAGGGCGTCCAAAATCAATGCGAAAAAATCATGCTACATTAATAATTATTTTTTTACACTGTGGTTTGTGCATGCGGCCAGGAAGAAGTTGGTTCGAAAGCCGGCATGCAGACGTAAATGAAATATTATAAATGCATGCTGCAGAATGATTACTTTTACAATCTTACTTAAGTACCCGTTTCTGAAGCAAAACAAATTTCACAATTTCGCTTAGCATTTCATGATTTAGCACACGTATTCTAGGTGAGAATGGGGTGAATGTGGTATATGCTGCTAACGTTGACCTCAGTATAAGCTAACTCATGCACTAGTCACCGTCCTGCACGCATCGCGTCATGGGACACACGTGACGGATATCGTTGCTCTCGATGTCCAAATTATCAGGGCGTTGCACGGAGGAA